TGATACAGTGATAAATTCAAAAGAGTGTTTGCCAAGACATATAAACGGTCACCAACTTGAGACACTGAAGTGAGGGAGAAGGTGGAAGATGACTGAACTGTTTGAATTATGAAAGAACTGCATGATGATGATGGTCTTTGTGTGTTTATATTAATTATTATCTATTTATGAGTGAAATTCAATCTCTTACCCTCTCCCTCCCTCTCTCTCTTTTGACTCACTGTTCCTACAATTAATTAATGTATTTCTTTTGTAATATAATTAATATAAGAATGACAGCTACTCTATAAAAATTAGATTACTAGAAAAACTACACAAAATTGAATAAAGTGTATTCACTGTACATACATGTAACCAACTCTTATAGCATGTCGTCAAGTAAATTTGGTGGAATTGCAATACAAAAATAAAAATAATAATATGACACCTAAAACTCAGTCATAATCAATATCTTTGTCTATGCTGTACAGTGCTTTAATTTCCTTTATCCTGTTTAACCTAGAATACAATAAAATGAGTACATTAATCTTAAGTTTGTAATTAAATTTTATGAAAGCTGATCACAAGATTTGTAATCAATAATTTTGTTTAGTGAAAATGAATAAAAGAGAAATGGTTTAATCAATAAGCCTATAATTATGCTAATGTAAATATGTACACATTAACTGATAGTACATGTACATGATGATACCTGAGGTTTACTGACCTTGCTTCCTCTGCCTCTTGTATTTCTGATCTCTCTTTATCTGTTAGCTTCTTCATTCTCTCTCTTTTGTCTCTAAATAATTATAAACAGTAAGAGGTCTATGTAAGTGTGTGTGTATACATAATGTGTATGTGTTCAGTAGTACTTGTAATATATGACACGTCCTTCATAATATAGTCCTAATGAGTATCTGTATAAATTAGTGATGGAATACCATCTCAACTTATACTCAATATCAAGACATGATATCTCAACTGAAAATGATTCACCCTAACAGAATCAGAGAGAGTATTAATACATACATGTTTTAATGACTAACCTCTGTATAATAGATATACTTAGCAGGAACTCCACTTAACTCTGACAGCTGTAAAACAAAATGATACAAGTAATAATAACACTTACTCTCTCAAAGTCAAAGTACAGTACATGTGTATATTCTCAATGTTATACTGTATAGCGCCAAATTTTCGATGGTTGTAAATTTTGCAGATTTTGCAATTTTTTGAAGATTTGCAAAAAATTAAATTTTTAGGGTATGAGATGGCAGATGTTATAAATTTGCGAAAATTAAATCTGTAATTAGATTTTTAGGCAAATTCGCAAAATTTACAGCCCTCATAAATTTTGTGCTATATGGTATGTTTATAATTATTGTTTAACTGGAAATTTGGGTTTTAATTTTTGGCGGATGCACATAATTATGCAAATAATAGGTTTTACTTTGACAGCAATTAACTATAAAAACATCACATTCTCAAAATTAACAGCAGCTATGGCAGGGTAAACATAAAGGGGGAATGACCTTTGCCCCTACAACTGATCTTACCCTTAGAATCAAAAGGCTTCACTGTACAAGCTACAAAAACTTTTATAAAACCAATTTTTAAAAATTCTAAATTTCCTAAATTTTTGCATACAGCTGTATTATGGAATAATCACTATCAGTCTGGCATTATAACATTATTTTAAAATTACTTCTGTAATAACTTTATTGGTAGAGGAAATGAACTGCTGCTCCTTAAACACACCACCAGCACAAGCAATAATAAAATGAATTATAAATTTTATTAATCAACATGTATACCTTTTCAATAACATGCTTAGGATTAAACAAACTATCCAGTATAATTTCTTCTATTGGATCAACTGAACATTGTGATGGACGCCATCTTATAACATACAACTGTCTCTGTCCTGTGTGCTTCTTTTTTTCTGGTCCTAATAAAAATCAAATCCATCATTTATTTAAACTAAAAATACTGAAATATACTGACCTTTCAATGGTTCCACATATACATGTATTTCCTTATTAATATCATCAATCCTAGCAAAATGCATAGATATAATACACGGAACAGGATTAAAAACAGGATCACATGAGCGCATTATCCATTGAAACCCTGGGCAGCTGCTCAACTATCGCGGAGGCCCCTGACTGTCCCTTTTCAAAAAGTTTGTGGGACTCTAGCAACTTCAGGAGATGGCAAGACGCACTAGTATGAGCTTTTATGGCTACTCTCTGAGAATTTTTAGTGCATTAAGACATTTATTAGTGCTTAAACAGAAGTTTTAGAAAGTTACGGCATGTCAAAACCAAAGGCCATATTTCAATGGCATCAGTACTCTAAAACTATTAAACGCAGTCCATAACAAACATCACAGTGCACTGTAAGAGGTTAAGAAGTAACCATAAAAGCAGATATTTAGTTACAAAACTATCAGATATCGTCTGGAGAGTCCCACAAAGTATCTCCATTCATCTCCATTACGGGACCAGTTCCCGGCAAACTAGGAGTGTTTCAATGGATAATGCGCTCATGTGATCCTGTTTCTAATCCTGTTCCGTGTATTATGCAAAATGAAACCTAGGACTCCTGGCATTATAAATCCTCTCATGATCAGGATATACTGTACCAGGGGACAGTCTATTCTTTTCCCGTAATCTCATTCTACACAATAAGTCACATGATAGTCACATGATAGCCACATGATGTACTTACTTGTCTAATTCAAGGACACAGTCAATTCCTTGTTTTTTTGCTTCTTCAATAATTTGTTTCTTAAATTCTCTCACTGGTGTGTCCATAGCAACAATAGACTCCATCATAAACTTACAAAACTAAAAATAAATACAAGAAGCATTAACAGGCTCTGCCCCCTTACCACGCCCAGATGTACATGTACAGACAAACAAACAAAACTATACTTTACCATGCAGTAAGGGCTTAATTTGCCAATTAATATTAATTCTTACCCTTATTTTGTTGACTTGTAATAAATATAATTTAATTCTGTACTCTCCTCTTCTTAATGCTCTACCCAGTCTTACTATCAACTAGTAGATACACAAAGTAATAAAGAGATGAGTGAGTGTGTGTTACTAGTACTTATAGTAGTGTATAATGGAAAGGAGAAGTGAATCAAATAACACAATAAACTGTAATACCTTTGATCCAGACTCAATATCCTTTAATATCATATCCAGTTCCTCCATTTCATATTCTTCATTACCAATAATTTCATACACTCTAAAACCAGTAGGTGGTACACCAATCAGTGGAACTAGCTCCTCCTTCAATTGAGCTAATGTTATTCTCTTATCAACTTGTACCTGTACTGTATTAATAATCATAAACCAAAGTTACTTTAATAAATATTTACTTCTTTTTTCCTTATCATTTTCTTCATTTATTGATATAATTTTCATCATTCCTCCTTCAGTAACATTAGTTGTAGTGGGTGTGGCTTCAGGTTTAAGAGATATCGTAATGTTCAGTTGTATGATCCATTTGACATAAAACTCAACATATCTGTACATCAAACTACGTTTATAATCTTTTTGATAATCTTCAGGATCTGATGATACATAGAACTGAGAAAAAAGTGTGTCTGTGTGTGTCTGCATGTCACAGCAGGTGTTTGTGTGCAAGTAAAGACAGTGAGGAGGGGAATAAAATATATATACAAATAAATAAATGAAAGTGAGAAACCTATGATAAATAATTAAAGGATTTGGTATGAAATTGATGCTGTATAGCAGGTAATTTTGGATTTGGCATATTGATAGCATGCTCAATAGTACATAGCCATAAATTCACTGAATTAAAAACCAAAATTTCCTCTTTTAAAATTACATGCTATGTGGTACTTGCCTAATGCAAAATTAGTCATAAAACCATACAATATAACATAAATCAGGTTTATTTCAAGTAATGGTAATTTTGTATAGCAATGTAGCATGCTAAATTTAGAATTGCTAATATTTTCTTTTCCCTATTAATTTATTGGGATAAATAGGCAGTATATGAAAATTTCTGACACCTAAATTTTCCATTGAAAATAACCAGATTTACAGTAGTACAACTAGATTAAATGTATACCCACACCATGTGTTTAAGCATACATGTACATGTGTGTGACTATGGTTAAAAATTAAATTTCATAGAAAAGAAATGTACAAGTCAAATGCTTCTACATTTACAATAGTACCTTTTCATACTGTCTATATCCTTTAGACAGTATATTCTTCAAAGTACTTCTTACATGACTAATATCCTGGGTCAAATTACCTTGGTAATCCTTCTCCTTCATTACTACTCTCATACATGATGAACTGATATTAAATAACTAAAGAAATGCATCAGATCAAGTAAGGGAGGGGAAGAGAGTGACAATATTAAATGACAGTATACCCTTCCTCTTACTTCTCCTATATGTTGTTTTAATTCTTCGACAGTCCAACTTTCTTCACCTCTCACTGGTTTAGCTAGTCCTACTTCAACACTGGACAGATCAACCAGTGATACTTCTAGATTAATAACTACACCATCAAACACATGGAAACATTGTCATATGGTAACAAAGCACACCTCCATGACTGTATTTTTTAAAAGTTTCATTTTCTTTGCAAGTTTCTAAGAATAATTTAAAAGAAGAACGAACTCTAGCTCCACCTGCAATTTGTCCAATAGTTTGATACTGAAACTAAATTTCTAATCATAACAAATGGAATAGATAAAATTTAATTACCTCATCAAGATCAAAGGGCTGATTCATTACTTTATCTTTAATATTATATTTAACTAAACGACATCTCTCAATAGGAATATGAGGAGCTAACTCCATTAACTGATAAAGAAATGAACAAAAATGATATAAACAGCCAAACCTCATAAGCTTTATCCAGTACACTGGGTAGTAATTCATCTTTATGTACATTAAGAAATGAGCTTGTTAATTTACCAGTAACAGGATGATTGCAAGATAAATAAATCTGTAAAGTAAAGTAAGTAGACAGTTGATCTGTCTCACTCTAGTATATACCAAACACATTTCTTTTTTAATTTTTCGCTTCTTTTCTCTCTGTCTCTTCTCCTCAGTCTCTTTCAAAGCTATCCAAATATTTCAACAATCAAAATTAATGATGACACATCATCAATAAAAGTTATAAAACCTTTAATATCTTTTATAAT